ATATATATATATATATATATATATATATATATATATATATATATATATATATATAGACTGTGCTATGAAACAAACCCTAAATAGTCACTGTTCCCACTTCCTCCCTTGGTAGCGCATCCTCTTCTAGCAATGGTCCTTGTTTCCACTGAGGTCCACATGCCTTGGCACCATTCCTTGTCCAGAACAAAGAACCCCTAAGCCCTCTGGATGTGCCTACTGAAGCCCAGCATCACTGCAAGTATCCTAGGCTTTCCCTAATCATTAACCCTTCCTTTTCTCACTTGTCAGACCATACACAGTCTGAAGTCTCTGTAATCTGAGGTCTGAAGTGTCTGTCTCGACCCCCTTTATCCTTCATTTAGGTTTCCTCCAATAACAATGTATTCATCTCTCTCTCTCATCTGCTTCCCAGAATTTTGGGAAAAGGTTATATTAAATGTTCAACTCGTTGCCTTAGTATGTAGACATGGTTAAGTCTAGTTTTTCAAAAATTACAAATTTCAAGTTTTATGAAACTATAGGAGAATAAATTACTTCCAATACAATGAGAGAGTGTTTACTGTTTTGATTTAATCAAACTTAAAATATTTCATCAAATTACCTAGGAAAATCCAGGTAGCAGAAATATATAACATATCCATTTCTTCACAAGATCTCCAATCAGTTTTACAAGGCCATATATATACGTATATGTACTGTGCCATTTGAACCACTCCTACTTTCTGTACTAAAGAACTCTAGTAGAGAAATAAGCTCTGTGGTGCTGAGGTAACCTAAGGACCCTCCCCCAACATGCCCGCATAGGTGTTTAAGTGTGAGCGTTATGTGAGGTCTCAAGTCAGGCAATCCCAACTGAATTGTGGGTTCAAAGCAGCATTTTAGACACGTGCCCAAAGAAAACACCTTCACTGAGCCCATGTGTGTATGTGTAGAGATGGGCAGAATTCAGGGCAGAGCTGACTGAGGGCACACTGATAACTATTAGCCATCTGCAGTTGTTGGCAAGACAGAAACATACACAGTCTTCATATTCAAAGTCTTCATTGGGATATCTTCTGTGATTTCTGGAAGAGAGAAATTTTTCAAAAAGTCAATATTCTATCTATAGTGGGTAAACAAATAATTGTTAGCTGCCTGTTTGGGGCCCCATCTTAAGGCCACTCTGACCTCTGTCCTAGCTCCTACCATGGCAGGTCCTGATAGGACTCTTTTTGTTGTTTACAGTGGGGGTTTGATTACATATGAGCTTCTGTTAGTGAGGTGGCTCAGGGCAGGTAGCTTGAAGGGTGTAGACTGGTTGGTAACTTGTGAGACAGACCAACCACGCAGACAATGAATTAATCATGCCTACATATTAACCCTCAGCAAAGCTCTGGACACCAAGTTGTACCACACTTCCCTAGGTGATGACACCATGTGGTCACAGCACTGGGGTTGGAGGAGGAGGTAACACTGGCCATCCCTCGTGAGGAAAGGGTGACCTGATTGATGCCCTATTCTGCACTACATATCTCTTTTTCTGGTTAGCTCTAGTTGATAGGATACACAAACGTGTGAGTGTGGTACCGATTAGTGAGCCTGCGAACTTTCTGGAAAATTGCTGAAGCCGAGGGTGGTCTGAGGAAATGTCTGTGGTTGTCCCCGCACTGTAGCGGCATGTGTGACCTACTGCATCATACACGTAATAATGAACACATTTAAAAACCTACAGACTTAAGTCTATCACAGTCAAGGCTTCAGAGCAATCAAAGACAAAGGGAATCCCGAAAGAAGCTAAGTCCACGAGAGCATCTTACACAAGGCTAAGAAAGATAGACCAGGGTGAAAACTCCAGAATGCAACATAAGGACAGAGGAAAATTCTGATCAGGGTAAGAGAAGCGGGCAGTAGAGAGACATATGTGAGAAATATGTCAACTTTTGTTCTATATCGGCCAGTGTTATGTGGCCCACTGAGGAGATGCATGCAGCTTTATAAACTGAAAAGGGAGGAAACTGACTGGACTACCAGCTAGAAGTTTCCAATGAGAGTTGATTCTTGAAGAATCAATTTAGGTTTAAATTTAAGGTCGGTAAATACAGTACTTTACCCAGAAGTATGAATTTTAAAGTTATTTCTAAGAAATGAATTCTTGAAGCTGGAGAGATGGCTCAGTGGCTAACAGCACTATCTGCTCTTTCATAGTTCCTGAGTTCAATTCCCAGCAATCACATGGTGGCTCACAACCATCTGTAATGGGATCTGATGCCCTCTTCTGGTCTGCAGGTGTACATGCAGATAGGGCACTCATACACTAAATAAATAAATCTTTAAAAAAAATGAATTCTTTTTATTCTCACCACTTTAAATAACATGGGACCAGGGTTTTAAGTTAAGAATTGCATATGCTAAGCAAGTGTTCTATCACTCAGCTACACGTCACTATTATTATTTTTAACTGTATTAAGGTTAATTTCTGAGGAAACTGCAAAAAGGAACAAGACAAATACACAAAGCTTACTTTTCATAGACAAAATACAGTTACTGGCCACAGCCTCATTTTGAAGAAGGAGAAGCCTGATGGTAGTGGCTACCTCACCTTGAGTTTGTGTCTCATTCAGGAAGAGCTTTAGCCTCCTGCTCCGCAGTCCAAACACCTTGGCTGCCTCGTACACAAGCCCTTGGTGGGTGAGTCCATTCTGTCCAAGTGGGTTTTCAAGCAGGAGGGTGCCCACAGTCCCCGTTAGACACTCTAGGGAAGAAGAGGGTAGGTTATTCCTAAGAACGCATGTTCCAACAGCAGCAGCACCAACCAGCAACACGGAAGACTTTGAAGAGGGTGGAGCTTAAGCCACAGGCACAGGCTGCCCTGCAGTAACCTTAAACAGCTCACAAAGGCGAAGGGGAGGAGGGATGAAAGAAACTGACATATGAAAGCCAGCCGCTGGGGAGTCAATTTTCAGTTCATGGTCAAGTGAAGAGACAAGGATTCCAGCGAAAAATGTATAATGAAGATCCTGAAATGTTAGGGGGAAAGGCGGCAAGGAAGCCTGTGGGTGGAGGTGGAGGTGTCCAACTCTTCAGAAGAGTTTCCAAGAAAACAAACATAAGGTCACACTGCAAAATCAATAGTTCAGGAACGTAGTTTCATGTAGATGTAATTTTCATCTACAAGAGTCTTTTTGTTTCTTGACTGTCAAAAGGATGGTGGTCTTTCTACATAAACATAAACAAACAAACAAACTCCAAGACAACTGTATTCCCTGAAGCAGCATGGGAATTAATAATGAGAGAGGTGTGGGCTCATGACATGGCGCAGGATGGCCAAGCCTGTAACCTTTCTGCCTCAGCCGCTGAGTGGTGGGTTTACAGGTGGGGGCACTGCCACTGCTGGCTGGCTTCTGCATGTTGAAGCTGGTTTGAAGATTACACCCAGGTCTGAGCTGAGCCTGGGAAGGACTGGGATGTCCCGCGCTGCCCGAGCTGAGTTCCGAGGGCACACATACCTTGTGGCTCTGCGTTTAGGAGCTGCAGGTTGATGTACTGACACAGGAGAGTGCCGGGGATGCTGACAGCAGAGGGGGCTGCTCCCGTGGTCACACACAGCGTCCTCCCACTGAGATTCAGCAAGTCAGTTTGGTTCTGTATTTCTAGAAGTAACAATTCTGAAGTCACTTTCTCTTTCCTATTTCACTAGTATTCACTTCCAACTTCACTATTATCCATCCTCACACAGCGACGTTTTCACTTCACATGTTTATCGAAGGACATTGCTTTTTCTACAAAGCCATGCTTTAATGATAACCAAATAGTATGAAGCTAGGTGTTTTGGTGGTGGGAGTGAACCCAGTGCCTTCTGCATGCTAAGCACAGCCTCTACTTCCAACCCTGTAATAAACCTTACAAGTAGGTTATTATCCGAGTTCTGCAAAAGTAAATAGTAAAACACCCATTATTCAGCTTAGATGTATGTGTTTGCTAGGTAAGTTCCGTACCACTGGGTTAAGCCCCCGACCCCCACAACTTAAATTTCAATGTAAACTGTTCTCTTCCCTTTCAGTATTTCCCTTGTATACTAAGGCTCCTCTTAAAATTTTCATCCCCTTCTATGACAATCTCAAAATTTACCATAAGACTATTAGTTCAAAAACAATAATGATAAAAGTCACCAAACAAGTTTTAATTCATTTTAAAAATTTGTGTGTGTGTTGTATGTGCTTGTGTGAAGGTGTGAGTTGTGTTTGTGCACAAGTGGAGCTCAGAGGCTGACCTTGATTGTTTCCCACTTCATTTATTCTGAAAGACCCAAGCACTGCTACCCACTAAGCCACCTCCCTGCCCTCCACTTAATTCTCGTTGGTTGGGACTAAGCTGGCCAGCCAGTGAGCCCAAGACCCTACTGTCTCACAGTGTAGGAGCTCATCGCATTAACACAGCTCTGTAGGTGAAGGCTGAGAATCTAGCTCCATTCATCACGCAAGAGCTTTATTCCCTGAGCCACCTTCCCAACATGTTCTCTAAAAGTGGATTCCAGGTCTGATTCAGTAAGGTTCAGGAACTGTGTGATAAAGTCACAGCTCAGCAGGAGAGCTGAGTCCTGAGCTGTCTCATGGCTATCAGGGACAGGGATGATGGGGGCCTTGGCTTCCTGTAAGCCCCAGGTTTCACCAGGGGGGTGCACAGGAGGGACGTGGCAGGCAGACACTGCCGAAGAGCCACACGGATGCCTCAGCGTCAGGAAAACACAATGGCTCTGCCACACAGCTGACACCAAACAAAGACCTTTACCAAGCCACCTTGAGCTGAGTGACAAGACACTCTCGCTCTGCACACACCTGTCTCGCCATGGAAGACTGACAGCTCTGTGTTGTTAACACCAAATACGCTGGTAATAACGCTCTTCAGCTTTACAAGGTTCAGCTTATTATCACCTTTTGGATTCTCCAGAAGCAACACTCCACCTGGGAAAGCCACAAAACGAAGATTTCATTTAGTGAGAGTAAAACTTAAAGAACACATTAAAATTTGGAAGAAAGTCCAGCAACACGAAATCAAGGCCTTATAGAAGCAAACACCACATTTCTACTCAGAAGGGTTTTGGCAAATCTCAGTGGGTCAAGGGATAAAACTACCAATCTGTCCTCATCCAACCCTTATTTTCTATTTTGTGCATTTTGCAAATCTCCAATACTATATATATATATAAATATAGATATATAATGTATATATATACATATATATATATAATGTATATATTACATAGAAATACATGGGAATGGCTAAAGCAGAGTTCAGCATCCGCCTGTATGACATCAAGAGCAGGACTTCTGGCCAGAGGCTAAGGGAAAGGAGTTCTTACCCTCAGCTAGGCTTCCGCCAAGACCTCGCTGATCAGAAACACAATGCTGTTTTATTGCTTGAAATGGGTTCCAGGCTGACACTTCTATGGTATCTGACCTCATTACTGCCATGCAGCCGTGAGTGGGTCGCCTGCTTTCTTACATTGCTCTTGACACTACTAGGCAGAGGGGCTTGCTACCGTAAAGTTATGACGAAGCTTGGCCTGTGCTACTCTACGACACGGTGGGGACTGAGTATCGTAAGCCTAGCTTCGCTGTTTGGGCTTTGGTGTGGGCACTGGTGAAGTAATAGTTGCTTGGTTTTCTCTGTTTTCTTCCCTGATGGATGGAACAGATCAATTATTGTCTTAATAAACTTTATTTGCTAAGTTGTCCCTGTTCTGATGTTTTCTCCAGAGAAAGCAGAACTTCGTTGAGGCACTTCTCTGCAGATTTGGGCTAATTAAAACAAGTCCGGAATCAGAGGAACTGTCCACTATTATCACTTGGCTTCAAGGTTCCTCTTGAAGGACCCTCTTACCTCTGCGGATAAGAATCTCACATTTGCTTTTGCACAGAATATGTAGGGTGTTAGGTAGACTCAGCAGGACAAACATGGAAAAACAATGTTGGCTCCAGCTTGCAGGGGCAATAAGCCCATTACCCATTATCTACAGAAATTTTTAAGGCAGTCATCAGAGCATTGGTAAAATTAAATAATGTTTGCATTTTGCCACCTAAATGAGTTCTTTAGATAATGGATTCTTGTAATCTCAACTCTTGGGAGGTAGAGGCAAGAGAATAGTGAGTCCAAGACCGAGCCACACAGTACACATCTCAAGGGTAGTAAGTAAATAAAACAAGCCACACACAGCACAGGTTTCATTTGCACTTACCTTGCTCACTGCCATTTGCACAAATGTTAAGGTTCACATAAGCACAGGCAGGACCAGGCACACATGATCCCCTGGTGAGTGTGATTTCCAGCTCGGACCCCTTTAACTGAGCAAGAGAGCATGCGATTAGCAACTGCGTGGCTGTGCTGGGCCCCACAGCAAGTCACACAGACACTGCTTAATAAGAAAAAGAGCTCCAGGCAAGCACTGCAGCCATAACTCACTCAGCCCCTCACCTGGGCTCTTAAAGATGCTGCTTTCTAATTACATGGTATATGGTCCTTTTCACAAAGTCCGGTGAGTAAGCAATATGAAAAATAGTGAATGAAACAATGTGTCTTTGTCACCTGAAAAGACAATTGACACTTTTGCCCCTCCTTGTCTATCCTACTATTAGGAATAAGAAGAAAAATGATTGAATAAATGACCTAATTCTGAACTATGGGCCAATATTTTTTCATTCATTTTCATTTTTTCATTTTTTCATTCTTAGTGCCAAATTTTCATAGTAAAAGTACTAAAAGTACTACATGTAAAGAGGTCATGAGTTTGAAAGAGAGAAGCAATGGGCACATGGGAGGGTTTGGAAAGAGGAAAAGGAAGGGAGAAATGATGTAATTATATTAAGCTCAAAAAATAAACTTTTTGTAAGTACTACTTGCAACAGGAAAGGCTAGCAAGTTCATAACCCACTGTCGACAAGTTAAATAATTGTTACATCAACTGTCACTTATTTTTAACGAAAACCAGATACCACAAAATCCTCTCTTCTAGTTTAGAGAAAACAGGTCAGCAGAGCCATCTCCCCACCCTGGATGCTGTTTCTAGGACAACTGCCACGAGGATGCTTCTGTTGCCTTCCTTCCCCTCCTCTTCTGGCCTTCCTCTCGGCCCCTGCCCAGAACTTACAGAGCAGTGCTCCAGCCCAAAGCCTGCACTCACCTCTCTGTAGGCATGATGCATGTGTTGGCTGCTGACAGGACCTGGAGTCACCTCTGGGCATCCTGAGGGGCTACCCTGACTGGCTTCGCTGTGGGAGGACTCACCCTAGGAGTGGGCAGCACTACCCCCTGGGCACGCGTTCTGCACTGCACAGAAACAGACCGCTCTCTGCTTTCCGACTATGGATATAAGGAAACTAGCTGCCTCATGCTCCTGTCATGAGCCTTCTCCACCACCAGTTCTGTTTGTCAGAATATTTTATCACAGCAATGGAAAAATAAGACAGTACGCTCAGATTTATCAGGATTTAACTATACAAACATAAGGCAAAACCCCGTATGGAACACCAGTATTTCCACACAACTTGGAACTCACCTGTGTTTGTTCTTGAATAAGGACATTATCTGATGTAGCAACTGGATATGGCTTCAAGGGAGCTTTGATAGTGGCAAATATGAAGTCAGTGTGGCTTTCAATGACATTATTCAAGTATTGGCCTTCAGATTTTGCTTTATAATAAACTGTTATTTCATCAGTTGGAACCAGATTGCACTAAAACAGAATACAGAAAAACTTAAGCACATTTTGCTCACAAAAACTATAGGTTCTGTCGAATGAAAACAAGAGTGTGCTGAACTGTCATGGAAGGACGTGCCTGCCCATTCTCCTCAGGTCACATGTAAGACTGGAACCTGCTGCTTTCTGTTCTTTTACCACTTTTCTTTTGGGGGCAGAAGGCGCAGTCTTTCCCTAGTGCAATCAGCCCCTGACGAGTGCCGAAATGAATGACTGCAAACCTACCTGCAAAGCTCTGAACCAGGACATAAATGCCTGCTACCTGCTGAAGCGCCCTTCTCAGACCGAACCCTGGGCTCATGAGGTTAGGTTTGGGGAGGAGCACCTATGGAAGTCCTCCTAGGCAGCACTGTCTCCAGGAGTAAAGCTTTCTGACTCTCAGACCTCATAGGCTCAGTGATGCCTTTTCCTGCAGGCAGAGGCATGTGCACCTTCCTCACCTCCCTTAACAAGGAAAACCACCCGATTCTGTGCAGACCCAGCAATCTCTCTCCTCAGCTAGGAGCCCTCCACACTGACTCTGTCTTCCTTGGACACCTGTCATCTCTGGTTACCTTCTGTAGCAGCCAGAGCCATCTTTCTGGAAGGTAATTTTGTTGAAGGGATCTGAAGAAGGATGGGCTAAAAGCACTGGTCAGAGAAAGTGAGTGGTACCCAGTCAGGGAGTGGGCAGGGAAGGAGGGAGGGGCCTGACTTTCCTCCAGAGTAAAATCGGCGACTACTGATTAATGAATCATCAATTGATAACTATTCTTTATACTGCCTGCCTTGTCTGTCTTCCCCAACATCCAAAATAAACCAGCACAAAGCAAAAACTAGAGCTTATTCCTAAAAAGACAAACTGACCTTCTTGCGAAGTTTCTGGATGCGATTGATGACTTCCCGGGCCATGCCTTCATCCACCATCGATTGGTCAGGTGTGACATCCAAGAGAACTAAAGCCTATACAAGGAACAGTGCACGTGACAATGAAGTAAGATCACTGCCTTTTAACTTGGTGAAACAGAGCTACGGTTGGCAGGTGGGACAGTGTCCTAGAGATTGATTCCGGAACCACCATGGTGGAAGGAGAAAACGGACTCCTGTGAGTTGTCCTCTGACCTCCATATACATGCTATGGCACCTGCACCCACATACCCATGAACACAACGTAAGAAATAAATGTTTAAAAGAAGACAAGCTGGGGCTGGAGAGATGGCTCAGAGGTTAAGAGCACTGGTTGTTCTTCCAAAAGTCCTGAGCTCGAGTCCCAACAAATGCACGGTGGCTCACAATCATCTATGAGATATAGTGCTCTCTACTGGCCACCAGGCACACATGCAGGCAGAATAAGGCATATATAGTAAATAAATCTTTTTTAAAAAAAAGGTCTTTTAAAAAGCTCAGTAAAACTAGGTTCTAGGGCTGGAGAGATAGCTCAGATTGCTGATCTTGCAGAGGACTCAGGTTCAGTTTCCAGTACCCACATGAAAGCTCACAACCTTCCATGATGTGTTTTAAGGGTTTATTTTTGTGCAACTCAATAATTATGTCCTAATTATTCATAAGAACAGATCACAAAATGCTTACTTAGGTGTCTGATGAACAAATGCCAAGAATAAGGACCCATACAGAAGTTCAACAGAGCAGCTCTAACAGGAATTAACTGATATGTGTGTGAGGCATGTGTAAAATACACTCTTACGTTCACACCTATTAGTCATGAACATCCTCGGAGGATGGGGATGGTGCTCAAGCCTGCAATCCTGGCACTCCCCAGAAAGTGGGTACGAGTTCCAGAATTGTCTCAGCTACACAATGAGCCCAAAGCTGGAGAGGGCCATACAACTCGGGGTTATCAATAAATACAGAACAATCTCTGAGAGAACAGAAAAATACCTGAGCGTCAGAGTGTGCTTCGAACTGTGCCGTCCCTCCCGTGGCCTGGTCAAAGGTATACATGAGGCGGATGTCTTCTTCATGCAATTCATGGCCTTCCACAACAATGCTCCCTATGGGAAAGCAGACTCCATCAGTCCTCTTCTACTGCCTGCTTTTAGCACAGCGTGCCCTCCTCTGATGACACTGGTGTTCTGCCAGCTAGCAAGGGCTGGTGCCAGCGAAATGAGGGACAGTGTGAAGTTTGGGTACTGTGTCGACCCAGTGCAAGCAGCAGGAAGTGCGGATGGTGGCTGACGTGACGGACCACCTTCAGGAATGCCGACTGTAGCCACTCCACGAAGGCTGACTGTGGAAGTGCATGTAAGCAGAGGAAAGAAGGCAAACTCTGACATGGCACCAGCACCCAGGGGCTACAACAGGAAGCTGGACACCAGTCACATGCCTAGCAGATTTCCTGGAATTTACAACTTTTGTTTTAATGAATAGGATGAAGGTTTTAAGAAAGACATGAAAACTTCCCACAGGAGCCTAAGTATGAAGCAGCCACTGGGCTGAGACATGAGGGCAGATACCCACCGCTCTTCTGGAACTGCTCCAACTCCTCACTGCTGAGCTGCTTGATGGCCATCATCACTGACTTAAAGGCTCCCTTCAGACGCTTTCCAAGGACCATGTGATCTGGTTCTGCCCTTAGTCGAATACCATACTTGTTTTTATCAGTAGACAATGTAACTTTTCGAACATTTAATTCCTAAAGTGGATGCCAAAGGAACAGCAAAAGTGTGAGCCACAAAAATCTGTTTCACATAAAACATGTAGATGAACATTCATACCAAGACTATTCAAAAGAGACAAAGAGCAGACATAACCCAAATGTCAGTCAACTGTTGAATGGGTGGGGCTGGGATGTGACTCAGTGGGTAATGCCAGTCTGGCAAGCACAAGGCCCAGGTTGGATCTCCAGCACCACACAGTGAACAAAGCAGGCCTGACTAGGTAAGTGCTGTATAGTTTATACACACAATGGAGTATTTAGCAACATAAAGGAATTAAGTACTATCCTTTGCTAAAATGTGAATGAACTATAAAAACACTATGCTAAGCAATACAAGCCAGACACAGTAGGTTACAAACTGTACATTTCTACTTACATGACATGTTTAAAGAAGGCAAATCCCCAGGCAGAAATACACTCAGATTGCTGGTGAACAATCAGAATGTAACGAGCAAACAGATGAGGGAGACTGGCTTCCTTTTTAGGAAGATGAACTGTTCTGATTTTGACGATATGTGCAATATACGAATACATTTAGAATACATGTGGAATGACAGAAATATGATGCTCTATCAAAACCAATCAAGTGAGGTGAGCATCTGAAAGATGCCAAGGCTTTGGTTGGTGCGTGGCTTTAACTTCAGCACTCATGGCACGGGGGAGTTTTGGATCTCTGCGAGTTCAAAGACATCCTGGTCTACACTGAGACTCTGTCTCACAACAAAAACCAAAACTATAGTAGGGATGAGAGAAAGAAAGAAAAGGGGTGGTAGTGGGATGCTGAAAATCAAACTCATGTCTCAGAGGTAAACTTGCACAAGCAACTCTGGGCACCACCACTAACCATTCTTTAACCAGGTATGAAGTCAAGAGTACTTCATGATGGTTATGTTAGTGACATATTCCCATGAAACGGAATGGTGAGGATACAGCAGGAGACATATTAACAGACAGTACAAAGTAAGGCAAACAGCAGGCATCACTGAGTTTTTCTAGTCTGTCTAGGTGGATTAAAGGGCGATGAAGGCCAGGTGTGATAATGTATATACTGTCAGCACCTGGGAGGCTGAGGCAGGAGAACCACTCTTGCCTGGCTACAGAGCAAGTTCAAAGGAAACCTATGCTATAGAGTAAAACAATGTCTCAAAAATCATGCCCATACACAAAAGTGATCAGGCCGGAGATATGTATAGACAACAATTGTGTGTGTGTGTATGTACAAGACATTAAGTTAGGAGATGTAATCTCACTTTCTGGCTTCTAAAGTTTGTCTAAAATTCTCAAGTAATTAAAAATCAAATCCAGGCCCAGTGGTGGTGGTGGTGCATACCTTTAATCTCAGCACTCAGGAGGCAGAGGCAGGTGGATCTCTGAGTTCAAGGCTAGCCTGGTCTACAGAGCAAGTTCCAGGACAGCCAGGGCTACACAAAGAGAAGCCTTGTCTCAAACAAACAAACAAACAAACAAACAAAATAACCCAAACAGACAAACCAAAGAGCAAATTAAAACTTTTCTTTAACTATGTACTTCAATTACCTGTGAAAAACTAAAATCATATTTGTTTTGAAACAGGAATGAATTTTAAAATTTGAAATATCTGTTTTAAAAACACCACAGCATGCAGATTTAAGTGGATCAGTGAGAGGATCAGAGGGATTCTAAGGAGACACTTACTTGTACCCACTCCTGCCCCAGAAGACGCTGAGACAATGGACTGAAAAGATTGCTTTCCCCTGCAATCCTGTAGTGTGTGAAAGGAGCAACCCCACCCGAAACTTGGCAGACGGGAGATGAGCACAGAGCTCTGACAGTGCAAACGAACAGTGTGTCTTGATGGCTCTGGGCTATTCCTATTATAAGACCACAGACTGGCTATAAAGAAGGCAGGAAGACACCAGGAGTCTTTCTCTTCCTGGTTTGTCTTTATTAGTTTCAGGCTATCCTTTAAGGTACAGGAAAATAAGCATCCTGTGAATTTAATGCATTACCCAGCTACCAATACTGTGCTCTATTCTTCTGAGACCAAACTCTACCCCTGAAACCCATCCAACATACACACACACACACACACGCACACACGCTTGCACACACTGAGTGCAGACACTCAACATCCACATACTGAAATGTACGTAGATACACTCATCTTGTGCAACGAGAACCCACAATTCCTCAAATAAAATATTTAAATAAATTACGAGGCAGTCAGACACGATATGAGATACATTTTAGAACTGGGGGTAGTGACATAAGCCGTAATCCCAGCACATAGGAGGCCAAGACAGGAGAACTGAATGGAAGACCGGCCTACACTGCAAACAAGACCCTGCCCTGCCCGCAAGGCTATGACAACTACGTATGTGATGAGCTAAAACCACAGAGGGCAAGTGAAACCCTGGAGACAGAGATGGACATTGGCCCACCTTTTATCAGAACCATACTATGCCTCGGCATTTACAAACAGTAAATGGTTACTATTTCATCATTTGAAGAAGCAAAGCTTTTCTGTTCATTACAAATATTTATAAAGAAATATAAAAGAGTAAAGAAGTACACTCATCACATAAAATTTTATGAGTGATTATGCACGCAGCAATTTACAAAAGAATCATTTTCCCCCCAAAAAAAAATCTGGCTAGGCCCATCATTGACCTTACCTCAATGATATACTTCTCCAAGGACCTGATATCCTCAAGAGCTTCTGGGTCTTGGTGGATAACCACAATTTCCTTCAAAGGGTACTAAAAAGGAGAGGAGGGGGAATGAACTAAGGGTCAATTCCTCCAAATGGCAAAACGTTGAATACTCATCTAGCTGAAGTTTACCTGACTGCTTAGCTAAACTAGTGACAAGCCATTCATAGCTCACCGCAGAAAAGGACACAGAATTATGCTACTACCTGGTCTACATTAACATTTCCTAAGACATACATCTGTGTCAATCCGATATAGAAACAAAATTTCAAACCTTTATTGGAATAGTTTTCCGGTCTCTTATCACTCTTCCAAGTTCAATCACAGACTGCATTCTTGACACTGCATTCTCGGTTTTCTTGTCAATCAGCTCCTCTCTGGTTGATAAACCAAGGAATATGAAAGATTATTACTTTTCAATGGTGAAAATCTGAAACAGTGCGTTAAGTGAGGAAAAGGATCAGGCCAGGTCTCCAGTGACACCTGAGAAAGGGCACCACTCACTCTCACCTCGAGGGGCACACAATGAGCCCCCAGGCTACCCAAAGGTTGGGTTTACATCTCACTCGTAAGGAGGATGCCATAGCCTCCTACCACTTATCAAGGTGGGCTTCTGCAGCCGAGGAGGAGCGGCTTCAGCCTATGAGGGGTTCAGGAGGTGGAGCAGGGAAATGAGTCCTCTCCCCATTCCTTCCTACGGGGTTTGGGACCCTACCTGTACTTCTTCCCCTTCCCATGGCCTAGGTGATGCCTCTGTATTTGGTTCCTACCGAACACGTGGCAGCATGAGGTAGTGGATGCTGAGTGTATCCTTGTCCCGCACAGAAACAGGGTCAATCAGCATCTTTAGATTCTGGTACATCAACTCAGTAAGAAACGGTGTGTAAGGGGCCTGTATGAGGATGGAGGAGAGAATATCATTCAGACACATCCAATATCAGTTGATCGCACTTAAACTGAGAAACGAAAACTAGTCACTGTAGAGAATGTACAGCAATACACAAATAGAGGCTAGTTATTAGATATTTCCTTTCAAAGACAAATGGCTACATCAAAAGACTCAAAATTGCTCTGGATTTATTGCCACCCCAAAAACCAAACCAAACCAGGAGCCCTTGAACTAGTTCCAGTCAAGTCAATATGCACAAAGATTAAATATCATAAAGCCTAAAAGCTGCATCTGCAAAGCAGAAAAACCCACACTTGTATTACAGGATACAGGTGTATAGAGCTAGATGTGGACAGCACCAAAATCTTGTATAAGGGCAAATTCTCCTGTGTGTGTTACAGACTTAACAGAAGGCTTGCTGTATAGTACACAACACTATTAGAACAGCAGAACAGGATACAGGAAACTGAAGTAGCAGCCTCCTACTCCTATGCCATTTAATTAATAGTTTAATAGGAATCCATGTCAATTAGGCATTTTTTTCTATCAGTGCTAAGTTTTGATATGCTGGATCATATGAGTTCAGGAATCTCTTCATTATTCACATTTACAGAATGTATTACCAAGGTTTATGTCTTCCCTCCCTAAGAGTAGACTGATCCCTGATTAAACTGCTGACTACCAATAACTAAGCACCCAGTATTTCTCAGCTCATATTCTAGGGCTTAGACACATGAGTTATTACAATTTCTGAAAAGGCACCACAGACAGAAGCTGCTTTGATGACTTCTATAGAAAACAGAGAGAAGGGGAGGGTGCCATGGCAGAGGGTCACTGTAGGTACTCAGTCTGCATGGGGCCTGAGTATCTCACCATCAGTCTGCACAGGGAAAGCAGGACGCTGAACAAGGTCTCCAGGGCCATAACACAGTCTTCCATCCCATTCTCACCCTAAAGAGTCAAAGAGCGATAAACAGGAAATTGCTAGTAGTTAAGTGTGTCATCAAAACAGATGCTTATTACAGCCTACAGGGACTACGTAGTACACAGATGGGAAGGGGACAGAGTAAGGAGAAATGGCCATGACCAGCAGCCCTGGAGCCATGCAAGGCAGTGAGAGGCCAGCATGGGACAGTAGTCTGCTGTATCCCTGACCATCTCTACTGGAGGTCAAAAATGGGGAAGCAGCTCTGTAACCAGGAGCCCAAGACTGACCATGGACTTGAAGGTAGGGAGGAGGGGAGATGAATTCCAATGTAACAAGGAGTTAGGTGAAAGATTTTGCTTAAAACAAACAAACAAACAAACAAAACAAAACAAACCATATAGTCTCTGTGCTTTTAAAGTAACTGCTGATTTGTGGTAGGAAAAACTTGTCTGCAGTGAGGAACTTCTCACAAGCCAGTATGTTCAGAGACCAGCGGCCATGCTATGCTCAACTGAAAACCCCGGCAGCTAGGAGCAACTCTGCCCATGCAAACACCTGCTCACTTTGGGTGGAGACAGAAACAAAGAGGTGCCCTGTTATGAAGCTCTTTCCTCTAGATTGAAACACTCCCTCCAGGAGCAAGGCTGGGAAGTACAGAAGCAAGGTAAACCCCTAACTCTCTGGGAGCCCCTCCCGCAGGTTTTATAAGCAGAAACAATTTCTGCGGGGTCATTCGGCCCAGCCAAACTGCCTCCAAGTTGTGTAGGAGCTACAGGAAAGATGCTTTTGTGGGCTGTCACCGTGCTGGGATGGGCTTCTTGTTGATGAGCAGCTGCTGCTGAGTAATTGATTCTCCTATAACCCCTGATCCACTCTCTGTAAGGAACCCCAACAAACTTACTGGTTCACACAGCTAGACCTGGATGGAGGCCATTTCTTTGGCTGTCACTGATACACTATCTAGGATGAAGAGACATTTATTCACGTCTCCCCAAAAAAGTCACACAAAGGTTTCTTTTAAGGATTATAGCCATACTTGATGAAGTATGGCTTGCAGAATTCTAAGAGGTCTGCTCAGTTTAGACCTGCACCGACGTGGACACTTCACCCCTAGTGACATGTCCACAGTGTGTTATGAAAATATACAGAATGACTTTTAGAATTCTGAAGTCCCATCCTACCAAACTGCACTCACTACAGTTAACATACATAAACAGAAGACACCTTCAGAATAGAGCATTAACCTTTCTCTCTTTTTTCTTTTTTTTTTTATTGACCCCCAAAACTTCAGACTTTTTGCTAGTCCCATCAGTTTTTACCTTTAATCTTCTCCGGTTCATTCGGACATACCAATTGGTCAGAATATCTACGAACTTGACCAGGCGAGGGACCACGGTATATAGCCTGTAAGCTAAAAGTAAGATGCCAGTCAGGCAGCCCAGGGCAGGCCTTGGACTGGGAGAACTAGATGATAAAGAATTAGCAGCCCCCTCATTTCAGGGACTCCCCTCCCTAAGGAAACAGTGAGAATCAGATTCAACCAATCTAATGGCTCATGTTTCAAACACACATGACAGGGTAGCCAAAGTGTTGAGGGGCACACAAAACTGATACTGAGCTACAAGGGGAAACCCACACAGGTGAGAAAAAATGAACCCTGTTCTGTGGGACCACGTACCATGGTGTGTACAGGCGTTTGGACAGCACCAGCAGAACCTGCCTTTACACTACTGCGCTGTCTCCGACCCTAACTAGAAAGCAGCAGGAAGCTTGCCTTAGATGCTGAGGAGATATTCTCATTGTGACACAGGGACGCTGCTCAGCGCCTCACCATCCCAGCGCGCCCCGCTGAGGGAAGGGCCCCGCTGAACTGCTGACGGCACCACTGCTGCACCACTGGAAGATGCTGGTCTTACTATGGTCCCTAGAAACCAGAATTCAGGACCACACACTTCTGGATGTGTGGTTCCAGCGACAGAGGCTTTGTCTGCTGGAGAGGAAAAGCCAGTCCACACTATGCTAAGAGTTCACCAGATTCCTGTGTTCAGGCTTCACCTCCTCAAGAGTACGTAACTCTCACAGATAATGAGCACAGGAAGCATGGAGACAGCAGCAGCTCTTCCCGAGGGAATGACCGTAACTGCCAACTCCCACAGGACACCACCACCATCCTGTAGACAGGTTCTCTCCTGATGTTGCTGATGGGGAGAGGGGAACATGCTGGGACTTAGTCTGGGCCAGGAGCTGCCTCCCATGCACGACCCTCATCAGACACTGATCTATCTGTTCCTAAGTAGACTGGGTTCTGTCCTAGGGTACAATCGCTAGGTTCAGCTTCAGGAGAAGTCATGGCTGCTGGTGCAGAAAGATGGAAGGGTCTCGGACAATCCTCTGCACAAGAATGGGTCTGCACGCCTCAGACAAAACTCCCCTGAGCACTGAAAACGCCTACCAAAACTATACTTCTGGGTTAATGTGAAGAAATGATCTGTGTTACTTCTCAAAGTTTCTTCTATGTTAATAAGGGAAAACATTTAAGACACCAAAAGAGTAATTATAAAGAGAAGACAGTCCTCACCCCTGGGAAGAAAGCGTACGAAGACTCACCTGCCATTTCTGTCTCAAAGAAGCCAACAAGTGACTGCATGAAGGACAGAATCCAGCGGTCAGTGATGTTCGGGCTCTCTCTGACTGTGTGCTCGTTGTACAGGAATTCCACTTCCTCTTCCTACAGACAGACACTTGGTGAGAGGCTCACATGCACAAAGGCTGAACTAATACCAGAGGAAAAACGACTTTAATTTTTTATTTAAGAGTGTGTGTGTGTGTGTGTGTGTGTGTGTGTGTGTGTGTGTGTGTCTATGCTGCCTGCGCCATGGATGTTGGAAGAGGGCACTGGATGCCTGGAGCTGGAGTCAGTGTGTCACTTAATACAGGTGCCAGGAACCAAATCCAGGTCCTCTGGAAAAACAGCCAGTACTCTTACCCGCTCGCCATCTCTCCAGGCCTACCAAATGCTTTCCATCAGTAAAATGGAAGGAAATAACGAAAATAAAAATGGCCCCAGCCCCTGCTGGTGAGGATAAGCACCATCAAATGCTCAATGAATTGTCTTGACCTGGAACTCTTCAGATCTCCTTTTAGCTCTGCAAGAGCCGCCACGATGATCCTGGGGGCATCTCATCTGCTCCTGTTCTGCAAACTGAAGCCACTGAAAGCTGTGCTTCTCAGGCAGCAGCTTGTTGGCAGAGCAAGGTGAGGATTATTCGCTTGGGTCTGAGCTCCTCATGGTGGGTGCAGCCTTGCTATGTACAGATAGGCCTCTTTCTGGCAAGTGTGAGTTTCACACCAATAGATGTCTGAAGAGCATGCAAGCTTCAGGAGTGCTAGCCCTACCTGGCACCATGTGTAGCAGAGTTGGCGTAATTACAAAGAGAGGAATGCTGAAAGCCAGAGAGAGCTGCCTGCCCATCTGAATTTCCAGGGAAACGTGTACCCTGGAAGTCCTGTGTGAACACTACTGTTTTGTTCTCAGCAGAAGAAAGAGCTAAGTTGAATTCAGAAGCAGCAGAAGCAAGTGACTGGCTCACTGTCCTACTTGCTACCTTGTGGGCTGCAAGGGTCACTCACTCAGCAGGGAGTTACCAGCACTTCTGGTAGGTGCTGGGGGAAGAGGCCGAGCCCAGCGGGGCCCACCATAAACTGCATACAGTGCAGTAACGCATACTAGTGATAAAGATCCTGGGCATTGACAGTGCTCGGAAGAGGGGGCCACAGACCAACGGCTTCTCGGAACGGGCGTCTGAGGGCGGAGGTGATGGAAGGCCAATCTGAAACACAGGTTCACAGATGCCCCAACCTCTACTCTCAACCCTCAACCCACTATCACTCTAGGTCTCAGCTCAACACTTCCCCACATAATCTTCTCTGACCACACTCAAGAAGAGCTTAACTCCAGGGTCTGCCTCTGCCTTTCAGGTAACTGTCTGTCTGTAACTGACTCTACTGCCTGTGATTCCACATTCAACATGGGCTCTCTGAGACAAAGAACCGGCTGACCAAACTACAACACACCTCTTTGTACAGAGGAGGCCATGTCCTACAGAGGACTAGACACCTCTTGTAAGGCACCATCATGTGAGGCTTCCTCATGGCTCTGGGTTAGCCAACAACAGCAGACAACAGAAGAACTGGCCTCAAGGTCGCACACAGTCCAGCCCTGTAGCTCAGCGTACACAGGCCAGTGTGGTCCATACCTTCTGCAGCCTAAAGACATTCTGGATGAAGAAGCGGTATGCATTGTACCACGGGAGCAGCACGTCCTTCAGGACGTCCCGCACACCTTCCTCTTTGAAGCGGAGGTTTTCTGCTCTCACCACGGGGGAATTGATCAGGTATAACCTGGAAGGAGAGAATTTACCCAGATGTAAACCAAATATTGCTCCTGTAACACTGAGAAGGCAAACATTCCAGCTCTTCTTCAGACCACATCCATCTTTCTCCTTCTATTTAAGACAAAGAAGTAGCTCAAACTCTACCTTCCTACCACTGAGGCACAGTACCCACATGCTGGCCCCACTGTAAGTACACACAGGTTCATGAGGAGCTCTGCCACACTCAGGAGGCCAAGGCTCACTGAGGAGAACAGCCCAGCGCAATGGACAGTGAGTCCAGGGAGGGCCAGCCTTCTGTCTCCCAGCCAGAGGGCACTGTGTAAAGGTGCCCAGCATGGGCCTGGGCTCTCTAGGCTTTTACAACCTAAATATGATAGATTTCAGGAGCATGACTATTTCAGACAGTGGCTAAAAGTTCTCTAAAACGCCATATTAATGTATTTGTTCTGGTGTAAATAGGTCTCATATGGCTTTGCAAATACAAGACAAGAAAAAGCAAGCAAGGACAAAAAAAGATAATTCTGGCTTTAATACCAACAAGATGGAGAACCTAAAGAGGAGACAACCTACACCCCCCGGAAGGTCATGGACGGCTCACGGTATCCAGGACAGTTTCCAGTTCTCAAAGTCTCCTAGGTTTGAATATTACCAACTACAAAGATTCAACTCCCCACAGACAGGCCCAAAGCTAATAGCACAATTATATAGTACAGCAATCTGAGAACTGTGACAGCAGGACAGGAGGCACACAGGAGCAAATGACAGCTTCCTACCTGAGGGCATCGGCACCATATTTATTGATGATAGAAACTGGATCTGGGTAGTTCTTTTTCCGTTTGCTCATTTTTTGGCCATCACTTGTAAAACAAAAAGTAGATACCAATTAAGTGAGCAACATAGCTGGTCTTTATATATGGATGTGGACTGCACGCAAACACACAATTGTAAAGGGAAAGGAGGGCCTCAGACATAAGCTAGTGCAACACAGTGGCAGGTAGCTTTGTTTTCATTTGTTGCTTCTTTTACAGTAAATTAAATTGTTACTGTGTATGCACATTTGCCTAATTTATGTGTGTGTGGGAGGCACGGGTCATGACACTCATGCAGAGATCAAACAACTTTGTGGAGTCAGCTCCCTCCTTCATCTTTTGTGTGGGTTCCAGTCAGGTTGCCAGGCTTGTACAGAAACTGCCTTTACCTACTGAGCCATACAAAGTCTTTTAATGCCATGGTACATCTATGTCTTTATGGGGGTTTCAAGGTGGGCTGGAGTAGGAAGATGTACTAGCATTTACTTCAGAGAAACTGGGAACAGGGATGGACAGGTAAGTGTAGTTATAAGGGGAAACAATGTCCGTGGTGGTGAAAACATTTAATGTCATAGCTGTACTGGTGAATACAGTAATCTACACAGTGAGAAGTTGAATATCGGGATGTGTGTGTGCCGTGGTGTGTGCATGGAGGTTAGAGGGGAACTGTGATTAGCTAGTTTTCTTCTTCCACCTTAACATTGGTTCTGGAGAATGACCTTAGGTCATCAGGCTTGCACAGCAGTGCTCTGCATGCTGGGCCATCTCACCAGCCAAGAAAACCACTAAAAGGCAGGAATGGGGGTGCAGCTCAGACGTAGAGCATGTAGGAATCTCAGTAGCAGCAAGCAGTAATGGGAAGGGGAGAGCACACTTTACAGGGCCTGACGCCTATGACCAGAATGGAGTTTACTCTGTATTTTCTGTTCCAGAGCCACGTCACACTGCTCTGACGAGCGATGTGCTATGCATGGCAGTGTACATGCAGGCCTGGCTAAAGGCAAGCGTGTACGATTGGTATTACTCTCTTCCTCTTCATACAGATATGAAGCAAGGTGTTTGTGTGGGCAAACACTCTTTCACTTAAAATGTTTGTTAACTTTCCTAGAAACATTTTAATAATAGCTCGGAAAACCATGTTAACAGCTAGGACTTTGTTTTGTTTTCTTTTGTTTTGGGGCTTTTCGAGACACAGGGTTTCTCTGCGTAGCCCTGGCTATCTGGGAACTAGAACTCAGAAATCCACCTGCCTATGCCTCCCGAGTGCTGGGATTACAGGTATGAGCCACTACTACCCTGTGGGCTGGGTTCTTCTTAATTTGATAGAAACTCGAGTTATCTAAGAGGAAGCCAAAATTGAGAAAGTGCCTCTTTTGGACTGCCCTGTAAGCAAGCATTTTCTTGATTAGTGATTCATGTGGGAGGGCCTGGCTCAATGAAGAATGTGCCACCCCTGAGCTGACAGTTCTGGGTGGTGTAAGAAAACAGCCTCAGCAAGCCACGGGGAACAAGCTAGTAAGCAAGCATTCCTCCATGGCCTGTGCTTCATTTTCTGCCCTGACTCTCCTCAGTGAGTACAGCCTGAGATTTGAAAGGTGAAACAAACCTTCCCTCAAGCTGTTTTTGGTCAGGGTGTTTTATCACAGCAAGCGAAACCCTAAGGTACATGCCAGTAACTTGGCATCCCGGGGCCTAACAGTAAAGAATGTTACTTGTGCAAATCAGAATCTGGTACCAACTAAATGGTGACAGCTTTGCCAAAAACAAAAACATGCTCTTCTATGGCTAGGCAGGAAGGCTGCCACGGCAGACAGGCCCTAAACATACATGGAGAGTTACTGCTCATCTTTACTAACTGAACAGAGACAATGGAACCAAAGGAATTCTAAGACACTACTACAATTAAGAAATAATTCTCCATAGGAGGTGAAGGCCCTGGGAGGAGTCTGGTGTGGTGCCGTGGCTCGGCACCTCATGTTTCCTCATGTATTACAAAGAAGACAATAAAAACCCACATGTCAGGAGTGAAACACAACGAGATATGAATGCTAAAGTACCTCACAAAATACTAAGCTAAGTAAATGTAACTATCACTAGTGATAGCACTAGAAGCACTGACTACTAACCCCATCTGGGTGTCTCCAGGAGTCCTGGCCCACTATGTAGTCTTCTTATTTGGGAGAGGCAGAGAACGGACAGGACAAGAGTGTCAGTAAACTTGGGCGTGGAGGGCATGAGGTCCTTGTGCTCACAGAAAAGCACTAGGGAACCCAGGAATGTTAGCACACAGGCTCCTCTCTGCCAGGGAGGAACTCTGTCTATCCCTTTTCCACCCGAAGGCTGGGAGTGGATCTAGTTAACAGCCTGGTGATCTGTGCTATCTCTAAGGCCAGGCCTCACCCAAATCCAGACTACTTGATTTATCCCAGACTCTACTTCCCTAAACCTTTATCTTTACCTTTGTTTCTCCACCAGCCCATCCTTAGGAGAGATGTCATAGTGCTTTACAGCCTGGTGACCTCTAGGCTATCTCTATGACTGAGACCCTAGACCCTTAAGCTATAAAACCCAACTTCATGGTAGAGGTCTCATGTACTTTCTAAAACAGTTTCCACGTTGTCATGCTTTAAGTTTATTGTATATACGGGACTGAGCCAGAAAACTTTTTTCCAAAATTGTACTGTATTTAAGTATGTCTAAAACAAACTGTCTAGGGTCAGATTCCAGAAATCTGAACAAGCACCAGCTAAGTAATGTTGAACCAGATTTCCTTCTTGCTTCCTCATACAGATTTTTCCTCCGAACTTACAGAGGACAGCACACAGGAAGATGGGCAGGGCATGGAACCACAGCACAGACCTGTAACTTCAGCCCTTGGGAGGCGAATGCAGATGGTAAGCCTCAGGAAAACAAAATAAAGAGATCAATATGTTTGAGACAGGTAGGTGGATTTCTATGAGTTCAAGACTAGCTTAGCCTGCAAGATTAAGATCTAAACCAGCAGGGCTGCACAGTAACAGCCTGCCTCAAAAGCAAAGGCAAAAACAAAAACAAAACAAAACAAAAAAACACCAAAAAACAAGACAAGTCTTAGACTAGAAGGAAAGGAAAGGAGCAGTAGCTGAAAGTTGGTGCTGAATTCCTCTATTCAAGGAGAAAATTGGAACATGACTGCTTTGAAGACAAATTTCAAGGACAGAATAAAGAGGATAGGAGCTGAAACTCATCACTCAGAGAGGGGTGCACCTGCCTTGCCAAGATGAGTCCATTCACAATCACATTCTTGAACGGTGGTTGTCCAAAGAGGGCTGTGGCTAGCACTAGCAGGGTGTAAAACCTGAAAAAACACAACAAAGCAGAAAAATTCATTAAGGTGGGAAGCATCTAAGCATAGGAAAAGGTATATTTATTTATATATTTAGTACAAATATATTTAGTTCTGATTCATTATACCTTTACTTAGTTTTTTGTTTTCCTGTTGGTATAATGTTCTTTTAAAATGTATACGCCTTACCCTTGTTAATTCAAATGCTGATTTCCCCCGCCCCCAACTCTCTGGTTTCAATCCAGATATTGCATTGTGATACTCATTATAAGCATCCTGCCTCAACTCTTGTGTAAACAGGACAAAATACAGCAACTAGATACAATGTTGTGCAATGGGAGGAGCCAGAAGACAGAAAAGAGGGGAGGAGCCAGAAGGCAGGAGGTGAGTGGGAGGAGAAGGGGTGAGGGGAGAGCGAGGAGGGCAGAGCTGGAGGAGAGCTTGCAGGACATGGAGCATAAACCAGACCTAAGATTTAACAAAAAGCAAGTAAAATGTGGGAAATCTAAATGTTAGGAAACTGAGGGCTTGGAGGTTTAGGAGGGAGTAAATATTGCCCAGCATTGTGTTCTAGGTTAACTAAAAATCCAGTCTCTGTGTGGTGATTTGGTTTTACAGCTGCTGAGGATTAACAGCAGCATTATTAGAAGATAAACCAAAAGTAAATATCAATAATCTCTTACAACATTTTCCCTTATGCGTTATGTATGTGGAGGTCAGAGGACAGCCTGTGGGAATTGGTTCTTTCCCTCCAACCATATGGGTCTTAAAGTTCCAACTCAGGTTAGCTCACTCAGTGGCAAGAACATTTATTTACTCACTGTGCTACCTGACTAGCGCTGTATTTTACATTTTGATAATTGTATAGTGATTGATAGAGATGCATCAAGACCCTGACTGATTGGCAAAACAAGTTTTTCTTAAAACATCAGTCTGTAGTGAGGAGCTACAGGCAACACTTATGGGTCCCCCAGGACCAGCAGAGATGCCAAAAGAGAGGTGTCATGTTTCAAACAAGATCATGAGGGGCAGACCATTTGATGACAGACACGAAAAGCACTTGCCACTTCTCACTTGAGCAGTGCTCATGGTCTTGTCACCATAAAACGGGACACTCTTGTTCCACTTTGACTTGCTTACTCCACCAGGGAGCTGATGGCCTTGTATCATCTTGATCTGTGCTTATACTTCAAGAACATCAAGGAATACAGCTGAAGAGGAGGCCTGAGCCCAACTCCTGATACAAATACCCTCCCAGACATCCCTTTCTGTTCCACAGGACACCCTTGGTGAGCAGAAGGCAGTTCACGAAAAGAAAGGGAACAGGAAGTAGACAGGACAAGGAAACCAGAGGACTTTACCAACTTTGCCTAGAGAAACAAGCTCACTCATTATCAAGTAATCTGGCCTTATTAAAACAGGAGTCTGTGGGGCTGCAGAGATAGATGAGCAGTTAGGAGCACATACTGCCCATTCAGAGGACCAGAGTTCGATTCCCAGCACCCACAGCACATGGCTCACAGCAATCTATAATTCTAGTTCCAGAAAATCAGACACCCTCTTCTGGCCTTGGTATTGCACTTACAGGAAAAAAACAAACAAACAAACAAACAAACAAAAAAACATACTCAAGAACTGTATATATGCTGTGCGTGGTGGCCATGCCTTTAATCTAGCACTCAGGAGGCAGAGGCAGGTGGATCTCTGGGAGTTCAAGACCAGTCTGGTCTACAGAGTGTGTTCCAGGACAGCCAAGTCTACACAGAGATCCTGTCTCAAGGGGAAAAAAATGTGGGCACACATACATATGTATTAAAAAAAAAAAAAAAATTAAATAACAACAAAACCCCAAGAAATTTGTTCTTGGAAGTCCTTCTGAACAGCTCCTTGTAGAACGGTTACAGTCTGTGGTTCAGCAACACAACTGAAAAAGCAGGAAGCCACAGCAGCAGTTCTTTAAGCACAACCTGCATACAGCACCGTCAACAATGAATGCACTACGTCAGGGCACAGGCCACAAAGCCAGCCCAGAGGGAGGAGGAGGTGAATCAGCTTTCCCTGGTGAACATGACAGCACTGCTTCAAACAGGGCACTGGCTAAATGAAACTAATTCCAAAATCCTCCCACATACCTGCATTTTATTTTAGAATGTTGATAAAGGCTGGACTTCTGAACACACTTCCAACTAACTTCCAAGTTCCAGCACCCAACCTAATGTCACTATAAAAATGATTTAAATGTCTGGGTAAAAGAATTTAAATAAACAAGCTAAGAATACACATGAGGAGAACGGAGTGGAACAATACAGTCTGCACAGTAATGATTCCTCCTGGAAAGCCAGGGTGGTGTCCACGCTGGTGGGAGGTACAGAGGGCGGAAGTCTGGCTCTCCGTGTCAGCACTGGGCAGATGCGTATGGGCACTTAATGAAACACATGTCCTGTAATGTAAAACCAACGAGGACAGAGGAGACACTTACCACCCCCGGGTCTGATCAATGCCTTCAGCAATGAAGTCTGCAGGAAAAGCGTCCTCAAACTCTCGCTTGTTCTCAAACGGGTAGTGAACCTGGGCATAGGGCATACTTCCACTCTCGAACCAGCAGTCAAACACCTCAGAGACGCGCCGCAACAGTCCTTTCCCGCAGCGGGATGGGATGGTCAAGTGGTCAATGCTGGCAGACAGAAAAGTTGCCACCTCTATTCATTGTGAACAGAAGATCTTGCAGTTTAAACGCTGATCTGACAAGATTACACGTACATCATGCAACAATATTTTGGTGAACCAGAGACTACATGTAAAGTGTTGGTTCTATAAGGTTAGAACAGAGCTGATGTTTTTCTTTTCATCAGTGACATCATACAGGTGGTAACATGACATGGTGCTTTATTCATGTTTGTGATGATGGGATGCAAACAAAACGACTGTGCAGCAAGAAGTAATGGTACGTGCGGCATGTGAGAGTCCGCATGGCTCACGGGAGTTAATGATGAGCATAAATCATACAATTAGCATATGTATTTACTAGGTTCTATTTCCCCCCCTTGTTTTGAGACAGGACCTCATAGCCCAGGCTGACCTTAAACTTATTAAGGAGCTGTGAATGGCTCTGAACTCTTGCTGCATCCGCCTCCTGAGTGTTGCCTGCAGCAGTCACGTCTGACTTTATGTCTATCAGGATGTATACTTACTCCTTCTGTAAGCTGTGTGCATGTTTTGCTACCCACACCTATTTACACTCGCATCTAGGTATCCTGACTATATTAACAGGCCAGAGCAATGAACTATCTATAGCATCTAGATGTGTGCAAGCTCACTCCAGAGTATTTGTTCAATGAGTGTGACTGTCCAATGATGCGCTTCTCGGAACACACCCATGCCTAGTGGATGAATGATGCAGATGTAAAAAATAAAATAAAATAAACTGTGGGCTGGAGCGGTGGTGCACAACTTTCAGCTGCACACTCTGGCAGGAGGCAGAGGCAGGTGGAGCTCTCTGAGATCAAGTTCAACAGGGCCTACAAGTGAGTTCTAGGACAGCCAGAGCTATTGTGATGCCTTGCCTCCGAAGGCTGAGAACACCAGGAGCCCTCAATCTGAAAGGTCATGTGACATTTCAATCCAGGAGGGAGGAAACATCACCACAAACCAACATGGCTAATCAACAAAGTACCTAACAGACCAGCGCGCCCTAGGTGCAGGTCTGTGATTCCCTGGAGATGACCTTACCAGGACAACAGCGGGGCAGGAAGTCAGGTGTTTGGGAACTGACCTCTCTCTGTGGAGATCTGAGATTTTCGTTCCAGACAATTCTTCAAGTTCTGCCACTGATCCAATGCAAACTACCTGTCAAAACGGAGACAAAAGGAGCACCCCAGAGCTAAGGAGACTGTGCTGAGGTCATCTAGGCAGCATTCTGCTCAGTTTTAGAGACCTGACTTTCTTTACAAACAGGCATCTAGAGCACTCTGGGCTGCAGGACAGTTATCGCCAACAGGGCTCATGGCTCAGGTAAGACCACTGGCCGCAAGGAAGCCAGCACTGACTTTGTCCCTGTGACTCCCCTTCTGTAGGCCTGCAGCTCAGGCCCCTAATACCACAGCCACCACCTAGCAGGTATTTCTGGGGATTTATCGTAACTGACCTCTGCTTAAAATAAACAAAATGTTTTAGACTATTCACATACAGCATCTTCCTCTCTTCCTTGGGCCTGAACCTGGCTCTTCAGTGTGTCATCTTTCCGAGTCAAGGCTAAAACCAAGTTCTTGTGCTTGGAGGTTCCAAAATAAAAGTAGCCCAAGTCACAAGGAGTTAAGACCATGTTCAGGTAAAGAGCTGGAGTGGAGGTAGGTGGACCAGGGAATGAGGACCACCTGACAAGGAGGGGTCAGATCAGCAGGTGAGGCTGCAGGGAAAGGCCTCTGTTTCTTGGCCTTTCTCTGCCCCGCCCCTTCAGTCCTGAAAAGCTTTCCGACTCAGTAACCTCACTGTTGGCTCTGAGGTCCTTTTAGGAAATCCGCTGAACTGGGGCACTATTGCTCACACCGTCTACACTGGACAGAAGGCTCTGCCACGGTAAGCACACTGAGCCTGCCTACCCAAGTGGATCCATCTAATCTCACACAAAACAAACACAATTCCAGAAGTTAAAGTAGGCAATGTTTACTCTTCACCAGGTTTCCCCTTTCAGTATTCATAAGATCAGTTTAACTTTCTTTTCTTTTTTTGTAGACAGAGTCTCAGTATGTCCCCATGGCTGGCCTGAACTTGCTGTGGAGATCAGGCTGGCCACAGAGTCACCTGCCTCTGCCTGTGGACTGCTGAGATTAAAATCTTAAAGCCATGTCTCACCAAGCTTAACCTGAAATTAGTTCTACAACTTAATGTTGTGGCAGCGGATGAGGGAAATCAAAGCAACCCCCACCCACCATCTAATGTATTGATTTCAATGAAAACAAACAAACAATCTTTCCTCATTTTTACAAAGTAGAAATTTAAAGCTGCCCTTAAATACTCACACATGACAAAGAATGCCAGTGACAGTACAGTCAACACAAAGCCTTACAGCCAGCCTCACCTCCTCAAAGTCTTCACTGACCCACAGCGGAATGGGGGTGCCCCAGTATCTGTTTCTGGAAACTGCCCAGTCACGTGCCTCCTTCAGCCAATTTCCAAACCGTTTTTCTCGTACAAACTCTGGGACCCTGTCACAGACAGACCGCATCACCAGTCATGCAGGAACACTAGGTGAAATTTATAAACCGTGCTGACAGAAGCTTTTGTGTGACATTTTGTGGAAGCACTAAGCTAAGCCCAGGACTAGCACGCCCTCGAAAAACACAGCCACAGCAGCACGGGAAGCTGCTTCGCCTATTGGACTATCCCTAAGGTGGACAGGGGCTGTGGTGAAGCGCAGCCAGGGAGGACAAAGGTTTCTGAGCTTGGGCTAAGGCTGTTCTTTAGAGCCAAGGGCAAAGATGCCACACAAACCAGGAACTCAAGCGCGCAAATTGGTTATGTATAAATAAATGGCTTTGGCAGATACACATTACTCTTTATCATGAAAATTATTACAGTTAATAGTCTCAGTATAGACAGATTGATTGTTCATTTGTTTTTGAAATAGGGTTTCATTGTGTAGCCCTAACTGTCCTGGAACTCACTATGGAAAGCAGGCTGGCCTTGAATGAGTTCAAGACTGAGTCTGCCTGTGTCTGCTGCCTGAGTGCTGGGATTAAAGGTGTGTGCCACCATGTTTGGTTAAGATAGGGTCCCCAAAGTCAGTTTGTCCTGTAAGTGTCACATGTTAGTGACACTTATCTCTATTGTGTTAAACTAAGAAAACTGCCATCTTTCACCTTCTGCCATAGGCAGGCATTGCTTCAGCTGTACGTGATTTTGTGTTCCTTACACAAATAAAGACAATTACAATAAACAACTAGAGATGGCTGGTAATTCTGAGGAGAGTGAACTACAGTTACTCACGCAAAGGGCGGGAGGAAGGAGCGTGATGAATGCTCACCAGTAGCACAGATCATTGTTCTTCAGTAGCTGCTCCACCATGTGCTCCACGCGCACAAACCAGCTAGGCACTGACTTGTAAATGAGCGGGGTGTCCGACCTGGGGCAGAACAGACTCCATAGTCACACAGAGGCACACAGGTGCCAAGGACACTAATTACTTCCTAATTAGTATTGGTTCCATCTGCCTACTCGGCCTTCTGCTGACCTTAGTTTTTACTTTAGATTACAAATGTCTAGACCATCGAGATGGCTCTGAAGTTTAATCCTTGGAACCAACATAGTGGAAGGAGAAAACCAACCTCTACATTGGTCTGACCTCTACATGTCAACACGTCCAAGAACATGCACAGGTGTACTCACACTCAAATAAATGAAAAGAACACACAGATGTCTAATTTTCCACACGTTCTCTCAAATGAAACCAAGGGAAATTTAAAAAAAAAAAAAGAGTAGAACAAAACTAGAGCTGAAGAGATGACCAAGCAATTAAACAGTGCCTGCTGCTCTTGCAGAGGACCCAAAATTGGCTCTCAGCACCCATACTAGGTAGCTCACGAAAGCCTGTGACTTCAGCTTAAACTGTCCGACACACTGTTCTGGACTCGGAGCTAGCACGAGCATGCACATACATGCATACACACACACACACTCTTTTAAAATGGTTCTTCTGAGGCCCAGTGATCAAGGCACATGCCTTTAATTCCAGCACTGAGGAGGCAGAAGCAGATGGACCTCTGAGTTTAAGGTCAGCTTGGTCTACATAGTGAGTTCCAGGAGGACAGCCAGGGTTACATAGAAAAACCCTCTCTTAAAAAACCAAAAGAGGAAAGAAAAAGAAAACACTTCTGATGATAAAATAGGGACCCGGGGAGAAAATGTGGGGACAAATGTCAGGACCCTGAACACTACATTCTCATGTGAATATTTACAGGATGTTCTTACATTAAAACACCGTTATTTAAAGAAATTCCAATTATAAAATTTCAGAGACTTTTGCGCTTGGCATTGCACAAGTTCAATGCCTTGACATTGAAAGATGGCAGATTAACGAGCCAGGTCCAGGCACAAGGAAGATGCTGTATGTGAACAGTCTTAGATATTTCATTTACAGATGTGGATGTGTGTGCATAGACAGACAGACAGAAGATAGATAGAGGTAGGTAGGCAGATGTCTATTTTCCCCACACAATTCCTCTCCTAAAATGGCACTTCTAAACAGCAGTTCCGAAGGGTGCCATGAGACAAACCCTACACATTAAGGAGGCATAAGCAAGCAACACGTATTCCCACAGCCGTGCCGCTCCCTTCAGCAGCCAGTCCCCTCTCACCTCCAGCAGAAAGGGTAGCTGTGCGTGAAGGTGCTCGCAACAAGCAGGCGGCCCTGCTCCTTCAACATCCTAATGATGTTTTTGTCAGCATCCTGTGAAAAAGTAGAACTCCAGTCAGCAAAACACCCTAGTATACTTATTAGCAATATGTTACTGAAACCTGGCATTTCATAACAAACAGCACAAATAAAAATGTCTGCTCTGCCGGCTGGAGGTACAGCTAGAAATCAGGAAGCTCATTCAGAATGCAGGAGCCTCTGTCTTCACCCTCAGCACAGCATTATAAACAAAACCCAGAAAACTACTCTGCTTGGTTTTTCCCACTTAAGTAATTTTAGGCAGTGAAGTTTTCAAACAGAAATGATGACCTGAGGGGCTGGAGAGATGGCTCAGTGGTTAAGAGCGCTGTCTGCTCTTCCAAAGGACCTGGGTTCAATTCCCAGTACCCACATGGCAGCTCACAACTGTCTGTAATGCCAATCCCAAGGGATCTGACACTTTCACCCTAATGCACATAAAATAAAAAATTAAATAAACCATTAAAAAAAGAAATGATGACTTGAGCACAAGGCCGCTCCAGAACAAGCTGCCGTGTAGTGCTCCCAACTCATGGAACTCTAGCATGCTTCCCTACCTAAACACCTAGACCCTCTGCATGGAGCAAAGAGCTCTATTGGCTTATTTTAAACTGCTTAAAAAATTTGTTTACATTAATTCTAACAAAACTACAAATAATGAAGATTATTTGAATAAATTTCCTTACTGAAAAAAAAAAAAAAACAACAACAAAACAAAACCCTGAAGCAAGCACGAAAAGACCAACACCCTTCTACATATACAAGGCACAGACCTTCACATACTGTCCCACAAAATGTGTCACTTCCTCTGTGAAGCAGCCTGAAGCATCCACAGGGCAAACAGGGGTTGAGTCTTTCTGAATAATGTTGAAGTCCATGCAGACCCGATGGTCATCCTGAGGCAAACAAGACAAGGGATGTGTGTGGATAAATGTCTCAGTATATGTGTGAGGAAAAAAAAGCTTGAGTTTATTTAGATTTCTTAGATAATTTTTCAGTCCTATCTTGTGTGCATGTAACTAACCTAACTCTAAGCAGGGGTGACTTAAGGGCCGAGTATAGAATGTCGGTCTCACAGCTGAACCGGGGTTAGATTACTAGCCCTGTCATTCCCATTAGAGATGCCGCACACAAACATTTTAAAACTAAACCATAGCTGGGTAAAGTGTTGCACATCCTTAATCCCACCGTTCAGGAGGCAGAGGCAGGGATAGCCTGGTCTACATAGTGAGTTCCAGTCAAAGATAAAGGCTACACAGTGAGACATGTCTCAAAAAATCAAAACTAAATAAACAAGACTTCCAAAACAACAATAAATCAAAAAAACGCCACTATTAAGTTTTATTTGTAATAATATACATATGTGTCTGAAAAATGGAAATCAATCTATGTGTTAGGCACAATGCTTGATGCACATCCAGCTTTGCCTCCCATCAAGAGACCGGGAAGGATGACAGCGCTGCTGTCATGCTAAGTGCTCCCTGTTGCCAGGGAAACAGGTTTCAGGTGGCACTGAAACCTGGTTACAGCGATGCTTCAGAAGTGGCTCCAAAGTGTTACTAACTAAGCTGCATGTGAGGGTCACCGAGCACGCCACTACATTTCTCATTTAACCTTAGCAATCAAGCTGCCAGAAAGGCAGACAACAATCAGGCTTTACAACAGCTCAGGGTTTGCCCTGCTTCCACATCAGGAAGAGGAATGGGAACTACAGATACGTTTTCTATGCCATCTTTTAGGGCAATGAGCCAGAAAAGGCCAACTCCACTGGTGTTGGCAAGCCAAAGAATCTTAATGAGACCCGTGGTTCAGCCTCCCAGGAAGAGTGGCCATTTACTTCTCATGAATAGATCTGCAAGATGAGGCTACTCACAGCACCAAAATAAGGAGCCTGGTGCACAACTCCTGTGCCTTCTTCATCCTTCACATAGTGGTCAACAAGCACGGTGAAGGCACCATTCTCCTTACACTGGAAAAGAAAGGTGCAAGGGGCTGAGTGAAGCAGGGAGAAGGGCCTGAAATTAACACGTAAATAAAAAAGACAAATGATTCAAACTAGAAAGACAAATGCAGAGAAGAGACAGGAGTCCTTGGGACAAGCTTGGCTACATAGCCTAGCTGAACTTGCAAGCTTCAGGTTCAGCCAGAGACCCTGCCTCAGAAATTAAAGTGGAAAGCTATTAAAGGTCTGTCATCAACCCCTGGCTCAACATGTACGCACACCTGTACACGCTTACACCCACATGCATGTGAACATAAACACATACACACCCTACACTGAGAGAGAGACCTGAAAGTGAACTGAACTCAGTAATCCAATGACAATAAGGCAAAGAGTTCTTAAAACAGGAGACAAACTTACTGCAAAGGCAGAGAAATGGGAAAAGGTCAGTCTGGAGATGTGATAAAATTATAATTAATGCAAAGATAGCAATTTTCTAACACTAAAGCAGAGTACACACTCCTGGGAACAATATTAACAAGGATGACCCGAGAGACCCACTCATAACCTCAAAGAAATAAATGTAGAGAGCCACAGAGTAAGGGCCCAAAGTTACCTTAATAAAGTAGTCGAACAACGGCTTGTATTTCTTGCCTTTGAGAGCGGCGCCAGGAAATCTTGAAAAATAAGATAGTCCATTAAGTCAAAGCAGTAAAGCTGGGGGGACGCTTCAGTAAGTCAGACGCTTCCTGCTCAAGCATGACAGCTTGAGTTTGGATTCCCAAAACACATGCAAAATGTTGGGAATGGTGGTGTGTGCCTGGAATCCCAGAGCTGGAGAGGAGGAATCATCAGACTTGAACTTAATCTGGGAAACCCAAGGTCAGTGATAGAGCCTGTCTCAAGACTAACATGAGAGGGACTGAGGAAGACAAGTAATGTTTACCTACGGCATACATGTGCCCACCCGCCCACAAATGCACACACAAAATTAAAAAAATGTTTAGCAATCAAAGTAATGAAACTGTAGCCAGAATAAATCACCACCCTCTGAAGCCTGCAGCCACTGTCACAGACGCAGACATGTGTGACTTAAACATATTTGGTCCCTAAAACTCAACCTGAACAATACAGCTTTAGGATGACAAAGACTTGTCTCTTTTAAAACTAAAGACACACACACACACACCCCTAACTTTATGAACACGTACCTTTCAAGGATCTCATAGTCACTCTCCAGCTTATAGAGGGCGGATAACCTGGCTTCCATTAAAATGAACAATTTCCCCCTGGCCACATCTGTAAGAGCAAAGAAAAGGAGGGTATTAGGGCCACTGAGACTGGCTGACTATGAAGACATATACTAGGCATATTTCTTGTGCCAAGAGCTTGTGTCACCTGTAGCTACTGTGTGCCCCAGACTCACAGAGGACACTGCAAAGCTATTCAGCACTTAGGGCCCGGTGTGGACAAAGGCAGCAGGGTAGGTGGCCATTGTTCATCACATCCAAGTCCATTTAGGAAAATTATCAGTATTTTCTCTTTGTAAAGGTAATAAATGTGAATGTCATTAAGCCAGGCGTGGTGGCACTTGGGAGTTGGATTTCTGAGTTGCAGGCCAGCCTGGTCTACGCAGGGAGTTCCAAGCCAACAAGCACTAAGCAGTGAGACCCAGTCTCAAACCTAACAAGTACCCTCCACCCAAATCTTAGCGTCAACAACTCAGGCAGCTCAGAGTCACAGTTCCTGTAATCTCAACCCTTCAGAGGGCTTCACTGCTGTGCCGCTATCCAGAGGACTTGAGTGCATAGCAGTGTGTGTGTGTGAGACACATTAGGCTCTCATCACCTTTCAACAGGCACAAGCTGATGCTCTAGGGCCTCTCCCAGTGTGTTCATGTGCACTTCAAATACCGTCACTGTCTTCACCAACAGTACAACGTGAACATCTCTCTCCCTCTCTCCCCCTGGGCGGATCCTCAGCCACCGAGTCTTTCACATAGCACGACCGAACTGTTTTATGGAGATGCCATGACTGTTTCTAACAGATCAATTAATGATCAGTTAAGTAGCTTTTAAAATGGTACTATTACAACCTCAGAAAATGTATGCATTTGTGAACCCTCATTAAAATATTTCTGGAGGATATAATTCCTGGAAGCCTAGAGCAAACAAACATCAAAATGTTGACATTGACCCATAAAAGCCAACAGAAAATTAAACTTCCACTATAAAGTGTGATATACTATAACCTAGTAGAGCATATGTCATCTGTTTCCATGAATCACTTTTAAGGACCTTTGCAATTCATTCACAAACTGCTTCCACTGGAGCAGTAAATCATAGAAACACTGCCATGTGCCAAGTCCATGTTATAGAAAATATGACAAGAACAAGACCAAAATATGTAAGTACATGAGTGCTGTGTGAAGAGTTATATTTGCAACATCTGTCTGAAAGCCCCTAATGTGCCAGGCTCCCTACAAACTGCCAGTGACTCACGAGTTACACAGGAAAATAGTTCTGACGCATAACTCCCTGCAGAGAAGCAGCTACAGACTCTGGAAGCAGGATTCTATATGAACAACAGCTATTCCTAACTCTCTCTCTCTCTCTCTCTCAGGCAGGACATTCCCCATGCATCACACAGGCAGCTTTCAAGCCTCAGCTGCCGTGAACACTGTTGATATAAACACAGGCGTAACCCTGCCTGGACAGGCCCTGTTTTCACTGCTCTCAATTCTTCTCTCCTCTCCTTCTGTGAGACAAGGCCTCAGGTGGGCACGGCTAGGTGGGCACGGCTGGACAGGCCCTGTTTTCACTGCTCTCAATTTTTCTCTCCTCCCCTTCTGTGAGACAAGGCCTCAGGTGGGCACGGCTGGACAGGCCCTG